GTGTACCCTTGATATGACGTGATGAAAACAGCACTTTAGGCTGGGTGCGGTGTATCACGCCTATAATCCCAGCACTTTGGGAAACTGAGGCGGGTGGATCGCTTGAGCTCAAGAGTTTGAGACCAGCCTGGGCAACATGGCGAAATCCTGTCTCTACCAAAAGTACAAATAAGCCTGGAGTGGTGGCACGTGTCTGTGGTCCCAGCTATTCAAGAGGCTGAGGTGGGAGGATTGCTTGAGCCTGGGAGGCGGAGGTTGCAGTGCGCTGAGATCACACCACTGCACTGCAGCCTTGGTGACAGAGTGAGGCCCCATCTCAAAAAAAAAAAAAAAAAAAAAAAGCACTTTATCTGTATGGTCTTCCTCCCAAACCCCATAATCTCATCCTAATCATGAGAAAAACAGCAGACAAATCCCAGTCGAGGGAGATTCCACAAATACCTGACCAGTACTTTTGAAAACTGTCAGCAAAAACCAAAGTCTGAGAAACTCTCAACTAAATAGAACATAGGACCTGGATGGGATCTGGGAACAGGAAAAGGACATCAGGGAAAACATAAGGAGCTCAGAATAAAGTATGGACTTTACCTAATAATAGTGTATCCATATTGGTTCCTTAATTTTAACAAATATACCACAGTCATGTGAGATGTTAATAACAGGGAAGATGGGGTGCAGAGTATATGGGATCTTTCTGTGTCATCTTTGCAACGTTTTCTGTAAATCTAAAACTCTTCCAAAAACTGAAGTTTATTAGCAACCAAAACAACCATATACCTACCACCTAAACTCTACCTTTCACATGTTACTCTCACACATCTGTCCCGCCCTGTGTCACTCTTTTCTTCTTTTCTTTTTTTTTTTCTTTTTTCTTTTTTTTTGAGATGAAGTTTTGCTTTTGTTTCCCAGGCCGGAGTGCAAAGGCGCAATCCCGGCTCACTGCAACCTCTGCCTCCCAGGTTTAAGCGTATCTCCTGCCTCAGCCTCCCAAGTAGCTGGGATTACAGGCATGCGCCACCACGCCCGGCTAATTTTTTGTATTTTTAGTAGAGACGGGGTTTCTCCATGTTGGTCAGGCTGGTCTTGAACTCCCGATCTCAGGTGATATGCCCGCCTCGCCCGCCCAAAGTGCTGGCATTACAGGCTTGAACCACTGCGCCCGGCCTCTGTCATTCTTTCCATAACCCCCTTAGACTACCCCTGCCTTTTTGCTCAAAACGGCGTCCAGGAAGCTCAGGGCAGTTGGGTTCACGACATTCCAGGGTCTCTGTTGTTGCCCAGATTTGCCCTAGGAATGCTCCATTCCCTCCAGCTAGCTCAGTGCCTGCTAAAAACAAGGAGCTCTACTGCCACCCAGTGGACTTTTAAAAAAATGAAAGCAAGTTGACTGCAGGAAAAGCTGAAGCGGACCCCGCAAGGCAGAGGGGCCGCTTCAGGTGTCTTTGAGCTGCCTCAGCACCATTAGGTGGGCTCTGCCTCCACACAGACCCTCGCCCTCTCTCCACTGTCCCCATCCAAATTCTTATCTCAACCAAGACGTTTCATAAAATTCTGGCACCAATTCCCAATTGTGCAATCATTTTGTTGGGCTAGACTATACCTTTCAAGTCTTTTTTTTTTTTTTTTTAAGGGGGCAAAACGTGAGAAAATCTGGAGTTTTCCAGTTTTGCTAGCACGTTTATGACCATGAAGAACTATCTGGGAGCAGATGGTGTGTCCTATCCGGCTGCTTTTGAAAGGATACGAGTCAGGGGGCATTGGCTGACTGGGGAACAGCAAGCCTATGTCGAGGGTCTCAACAGCTTCTTCAGGCAGCAGGAGCTGTGGTCAATGGCCGGGCGCGGTGGCTCAAGCCTGTAATCCCAGCACTTTGGGAGGCCGAGACGGGTGGATCACGAGGTCAGGAGATCGAGACCATCCTGGCTAACACGGTGAAACCCCGTCTCTACTAAGAAATACAAAAAACTAGCCGGGCGAGGTGGCGGGCGCCTGTAGTCCCAGCTACTCGGGAGGCTGAGGCCGGAGAATGGCGTGAACCCGGGAGGCGGAGCTTGCAGTGAGCTGAGATCCAGCCACTGCACTCCAGCCTGGGCTACAGAGCGAGACTCCGTCTCAAAAAAAAAAAAAAAAAAAAAAAAAAGAGTGGCTCTGCTGAACTGGGCTTCTTCCTACCTGGTGTCAGGCTTTGATGCATACTTGGGGACCAGCCTTTCTTAAATATTGAGGCGAGAGACAAGAAGGATGCTTCCAGAAGGGCAGGCAGCCCTGTGTGCTGTCCCACTGGCCTCCTCTTTCAGGAGACAGGCCTCTCACCTGGCTGACCACGGGAATGGCTGTGAGTTAGAAGAAACAAAACGAGCATGTCTTAGTTTGGGTTCCCCAGAAGCACACCCTCAGATAAGAGTTCCAATGTTGGTTATTATTTCGGACACGATCCCAAGAGACACTACAGAGTGGGATGTGAGCCGGGGATGGAAATAATCTGACGAAAGGTTTCTAACAAGTTGGTTAATGCAGTGGGTGTCAGAGCTCAGCCCTGCTGCGGGCGCTGGAAGGCAGGAGTGCAGCTGTTCCAGCTGGGGGCCAAGGACGCTGGGGTATTTATCCACCAGTCATTGTCATCTTCATCAGCTAAGGGCTGCTTCTGGGGACAGTCACTCCTTTATTTGGGGCCAGAGGAGAGCGCTGAGGCAGGGTCACAGGTATTCCTAATAAGCAGAAGTGAGTGTCAAGGACAGGGTGTGGGGCCCTGACAGGGCCCTCTTAGTGTTTAGATGACACAGGTTGGCACCCAACCCTACCTCATGCCCCGGATCTTCAAAGGAGCGAGATCCCAGAAACCAGCAGGTCCTCAATGTCTTAGATTGAGCCCAGGACCACACAGAGATTCAGCTAATCGTGAAAAGGTGCTCCTTGGATTAGGAGGGGACTTGGTGCAGAGGGACCCTCACTTCCTTTTTCTCCACACAGGTGAGGACTTAGTTAAGATGATGGGGATATATGAAAAGGTCCCCATGAATGTGTGTAAGCAGTGTTTCCGGGGAGGGGTGTTTGTTCCCTGGGACTGGTTTAGGCTAGAGGGGACTTGAGGTCTTCAAGCTGCAGCCCATGGGGAAGAAGGAGGGAGTCACCAGTGGTGCAGTCTTGCCTGGAAACTTCCTCTGGGCAGAAGCCTCTCCAGCTGGCCTGCGGCTCTTCCTGCCTTTGCACGCCCGTTGCATTTCAAAGAAACAAGACTCAGCTACCAAAACTTAGAGCTAGACCACGCGGTTTCCACGGAACACCAAGATTTAGGTGATAATCAATTATTACCAAGGGAAAGGGGTTCTTATGAGCTAAAGCTCATCTGTAAAACCTGTCAATCTTGTGCAGAATGTTGAAAAAATGTCAATCTTTTCCAGAAATCTCTGGGGTCTTACTACTGAAGTGCTACCTAGAAAAAATAAAAAAAGTTTTAACAAATTGCAAAGGATGAAGTCCTCTGCATAGCAACCAGGGGGTCACCGTCCTTGGAGATTTAGCTCCAGGTGAACGGGCCATCAGGTGGAACCTGCCCCACCTGCCAGCCACAGTGGGGACGGGCACTTGGCTGCCAGTTCTCAGACATGAGCAAGGTACACTGTAAGGGCACACACAGCATGAAGCCCTAATACAGCTGTGCAGTGACACAGCCTTGTGCAACCACCACCATCCTCTTCAGTGTGAATGCTGGCAGCAGGATTCCTGGAGGATCGAAAGCTTAAGGTCCTTATTAGGCACTTCTTGGATCTTCAGTGCTTGGTGGCAAAGGTGTGTTGGCTGACCACAAGCGGACTGTCAGCGGGTGAAAGCGTATGGTATTAGTAGTGAAAAGCTCCAGTGGGTCTTTCTGCAGGACTGAGATTGCTGAGTGGGGAGAATCTTACCGTCCTTCATGTCTTCTGGAAACCAGCTGGTCAGTGAGGACACAGCCATGGCCAGGGAGAAGACTCCGGACACATTCCAGAGCACCTGAAGGGCGGTGTGTCCTGGGCCGCCCGCTCTTCCCGTAAAGGACAACTTCGGCACATCGGCAGGTGGGCTTTCTTCATGACCTCGAGCAGCTCTAGCCTCCAGCATGAACAAGGTATAGGATACTGACTGCAGCCTCAGAGCACTCCCCGATCAGGACCTTGCTGGAGCCTAACTAGGAAGGCTGCGTGAGAACTGCACTACTCCTGAACTGCCTGAAGCGCAATGTTCTGGGGCTTCTTTGGCAAGGGGAGGAGGGCATTTGATTGGTGATTGTGGTAGGAAGTGGAATTTGAGCTGAAGCATGAATCCAGTCCTCAGCCTGGTGATCCTTGGAAGTGGCCAAGTCACAAGTTATGACTTAATGGGCCCTTGTCACCTTTGGGGAACTACAACTTACAAGTAGACCAAACTACTTGGCAGAAATAACAAATAGGACACTGTTACTTAGATGAAGTGTTTTTGGCAAGAGCATGTCCCTTGCCTTCACTCCAGAGAATAAAGATTTCATTTACTGACAGGGGTTAAAGTCGAGGGCAGGGTTGTGCACTACGGATTACGAGCCACCCTGGCAGACAGACGAGGGACATTCTTTACAGTGCCAGAGTTCTTGTTCCTGCTTCCATTGTCCCCTCGCCTTCATGATCATTTCACATCAGTAACCTGTGAATACTCCAGGTCGAGTGTTCTAGTCTAGCCTTGCAGTGTTGATAACAGCGGGACACAGAATCAAAGAGAGGATCCACTCCTCAAAACGTTAGGGTCTAAGAAATGGTGCTATTAAAGGGTGTAATTTTACTCAGGAAGGGTAAGGAAAACATGAGCGTGAAGGTGGTTGGGGGGCGGCGGCGGAGTGAAGCCCCTGAACAGGGAAAAGGGCAGACAGGAATGGGTGTTAACTGTCCCTCCGCTTTCAGCTGGTGACAAAATTCGGGCTTGTGTGTCTCCTGATGAAGCTGTTCACAGTAACACAAATGCAACTGTCTGCAATACATCATAAAGACAGACAATGCTGTTTCTTCAAAATTTTATTTTAATTTAAATTACAGGGCCAGCCAGATATTCTGATAAGAAATTCACTTTTCCTTAGGAGAAAGAAAATGCTTTCATGGCATTGTTAACAAATGTATACATCTCCACTTTTTTAAGGGTTAAAAATCACATTAAGTAACTGCCTTATGTAAAATTAAACCTTTATAACACAAAAAGAAACCACTTCCAGTATAATAGTCTTGGTAATATGAATATATTAAACGATCATAACTTCAAATGCAACATTTCAACCTTAAATGTTTTCACATTGTTTTGCTTAAAAACAAAACCCAAGAAGTCTGAACTACCTTCAGATTCCAATGCAAGAGTAACACGTTAATGTTGTCTCTGACACACTGCACCCCCTCACTGTCTTCCACCTAAAAGGCTACAACATCATTGCCAAAGTGGAAGCTGTTTTATTGTGTAAGTTCTAAGAATGAGCTTGGCAAGAAGACATTTCTTCCACTTGGTGTAATCCATGTTTTTACACTAACTCCATACACACAGCACTATACCACAAAAGCCAGGACACCACATCACGGCCAAGTCTGCCCTCCTAAACATCTAAGAGATTTTCTTTTTGAGGAGACTAGATTGCCTTATTTCACACAGATTCTGGTAAAGACAGTCTCAGGAAACGCCAATTATGATGCAGACTGCCATTTTAATAAAAATAAAATACATCTGTATTTTCTGGAGCTATTTTCCTAACTGATGTTCTTGAAGGTTTTAAAACCTGCTGAAACAGCAATTGGGAGGCCCATTTTACTGGCCAATATATAATTCCATTAGTAAGAGAGGCTAGCAAAGAATAATCATATCAATTTCTTCAGCTGCAGCCATGCTGAATTTGAACTGGCAAACTCTGATTTGTAAGTTGTTAGTTGTGATCTTCATATCACTAAAATGAACAGATACCATTCTAATAACTTTACATAGATATAGTCTAGAAGACATTGTTCTGCCGTGGTCACAGTAACAAAAAAGTGGTGCAAAATCAGTTACTTTATAAATACTGATAATTTGCAGCATTAAGGAACAGGACATAAAAAAAATAAATTTCCCCATAGGACACCTATGACTAGGAAGTCTTCTTTTCCTAAGAGAAGCCAAAGTTTTAATTATTCAGTTCACAACTATTGTACTGGATTACTTAGTCTAAGAAAGAAAAGGTGCTCTACAGAGGTTTCCCACACACACAAAGAATCAGCATTAATTTAGCATAATCTCTATCATTCACAGATCTGGCAGATTCATTAACTCATTTTAAATGAATAAGGCCAATAGGATGCAAGAAGGTGTGGCTGACTGAGCTCCAGGGCTGTATCGCAGCTTACTGATGGCACCCCATTAGGTAACTGAATACAAAGGATTGGTTTACTTTTTTTTTTCTTTTAATGCTGTGATACTTAAATGTTAAATCAGCATTTTCATGTGATCTGAAGTATTTCAATTACATATGAGCATTCATTGTTTTTTTGCAAAAACTCAGTATTAGGTAATAGTTACATACTACTACAATGACATTCCTCTGCTGTACAAATTAAACCATTTAAAAGAAATGAGCATTCTAAGAATTATATACAAAAGAAACCTGTAAGCAGGGTTGAAATGAAATGCAAGGTGTCATTGCTAGCTCTACTTTTTAAAATATCTTCGAAAAGTAAAATTAACAAATACCCTTCAACATATCCAGGTTTACAAGTCTCAAGAAAATCAAATGTCAAAAAATTCTAGAAAGCTGTGAAAAGCATATATACATTTTCCTTATGATCTTATGAGGCTTCTTTACACTTTTGAGAAGTTGCTAAGTTTCAGTATCAATTTATTCGCATGTCAACTTTATCTGCCCCCAAACTCCCATTTTGGATACAGTTCCCCTCTGATTTCAGATAAAGCTCTGCGTCATTTTCCTTCAGCGAAGGGGTACGATCTGACGCAGGGATGCCAGGTGTGCACTTGCCACACTGCACTCAGATCGCCAACAAAGATGGGTGCAAACACACAGGTCTAATCTGGTATCAATGCCCTCTTTCCTAAACCACACTCTCATCCATACATTTGCCTTCATGAACCCAGCCATGTTCAGAACTCCCGTAGTACTTCGAATTCTGAAATGACACAAAGATCAAGAGAAAGCCCACATGTGCCCTAGTGTGCAAGCAGCAGCAGCTACGATCTCCAACCTGGACTGAAAAACAAAAGGGTAAAATGAAAAACCGTTCACTTAACAGCAGATTAGCAGTAATGTTCCTCATGAATCAGTAAGAGTGCCTGATGCTGAATAGCTAACAGCAAACGCTGAATTTGGATTTAACATAGATGTTTATTGGAGATTAAGCTTCTTGCTGAGCTGGTCTCTTCAAATCCCTGATCTGTTTAACTAAATAGGTCTTCTCGTCGTTAAACTGCTCATCCTCCGTCCTGTCATTCTGAAACTTGCTGAGGAACTCTATGAGTTTGGTCTGGTTCTTGAGGAGGATGTCTAGGATGGGTTGTGTCTTGTTAGGATTGGCTACAAACACCTGCATGGAGAGAAATGCACATGAGGCACAGAGAAAGAAGAAAACGCAGCCACACCTGAGCTGCAGCCACAGCGCAGGAAAGCACAGAGCTACGCTCTCCTGGGGTGGGGCTGAAGTCAGGGTCGTTAGGTTTTGCTGTAGAAGGCCTTATTTTACAACTGAGAGAAATAATTACATGTTTTAACACTAATACGACTGATAAACTCAATCTGCCAGCCCTGCAACACAGTGTGCAGTATTAAATACAGACTCTGATTTTAGAATAAAACGGGCAGAAATTATTTCTCCACACAAGAGGTCAGACTGGATTTTAAGAATGACACCTCCACAGCAAGCATTAAGAAATGCTTTTGTTTTGCAGTTAATAATCTTCTAGGCCAAAGATAAATGACACTCCTCTATAAATAAACTTTCTTGTTCCCAAATCCAAATAGTAACCCCTGTTTCCAGGTCTACCTTTCTGTTTAAAAGTCATCGCACACAAATATGAAAAGTGACTGAATTTAATTAAGTCACCTGGATTACCAAAGTGAGGCTAATAATTTCCGTCATTTGCAAATGAAAGACGACGATCAATTCTAGTGGACAGTATCACTGGTGGTTCCATACTCTACCTTAAAAACGTGAAAGGCCTCAAACTGGATGTTGCGACTTTTGTCTCGCAGCAGGTTCATCATTAATTTGAGGTTCTCAGGTTTACTGATGTATTTTGTCATAATTGTGAAGTTGTGTCTATCTAGTAGTAGTTCACCGAGAAGCTGAGAAGACATTTAAACAATTACTCTTACATTGTTATTAAAATTTAAGGAAAAATCAAAGTTTAAAAAAATAATTTATTTCATAATCATCATTATAGCATATTAGTAGGCACTCAAAAGACTGAAGAACTGAACTGAATTACAAACTAAAAGCTATCAAGGGCCTTCTCTCTGCCACCTGAATGCCTTCCTACCTTTCCCTGAGGAGATGAAATCTACAGGAGGCCTGACGCTGCTCTCTGCAGAGGATGTTCAAGGTGTCCCCTTAGCCCTGAGTTGGAGACTCTCAGAGCCTCCCCTTTAAGCGTGCATTTGTGTTAGAAACTATTCAGAAAATGGTCAAAAGCTATTGATTATTCCTGTTAACTAACCACAAACCTTAGCTTAATTTAAAATTTTATTTAGCGGGACTTTCCAGGATGAAGGGTTTTGTGTCCCAAGTTTTCCATACATGAACCCTGCACATGCCACAGGTACCATTTTATCACAGCTAATTCAGAAAGGTTTACACAAGTGAGTATTTTTCTGCTCCTTCTTAAGTCTCCTGAAGATAATCCAGGGTTTTCTTACCGACCCTCATTATCACTAATTATACCAATTACGCTAAAAAACATGTTTACTTCAGGGTTTACTAATTTCTGGAAAGTTGGTTGTATCATGTAAACTCACAACTTTTAAACTGTCATTGCTTACTCTTTCCTAAAACCAGCAGTCACTTCTTCAGGTTGTCAACATGCCAACAACCTGGCCAAAGCTGAGTGTGCAGAGCCAGCAGTGGGGCTGCCCAAGCTGCGGTCCTTGTGGGCAGAGGCAGAGCAGTGAAGAGCTTGGTCCCTGGTGCCAGCCTGCCTGGGTTCCAATCCTGGCTCCCTACTTCTTGTGAGCTCTGTAATCTTGAGCACATTTTATTGAACTCCTCTGTGCCTCGGTTCCATCATCTGTACAACGAGGGTGGGCAACAGTGCCTCTATCTCAGGAGAGTGCAGTGAGAAACGAGCGTCAGTATGTGCAAAGCACCCATCAGGCCTGCATCTGCAGAGATGTGACTGAGTGAGGGCTAAGGGAAGAAAAGGTGCAAACAGCGCCGCTGTGTCTTTGCTTTAATTGCTTTTGTTGCTTCCTTTCTGGGTTTCTGGCTATGTTCTATATACTTGAAGTTTCCAGATAACTGATCTCTGGATAAGTAACTTGTCATTATATTAAATAAAAAATAAGCTGATGTGCAAGAAAACAAATCTATTTTACTTAGGCTTTATAAGGAACTCATAGGAAGAACTCAAAAGATTAGGTTTCATATCAATGTGAATCACAAAATCTATTCTTACGGTGAGAAGCAACCAGCATCTAAAAGACTGAAAAGTCAGTATTATGTGATTTATAGTTTTCGTGTTTTCTATCACAGAAACCAAAGAAAATCTGAAGGAAGATGACTTCAAACATGTAATTCTTTTATTTTTTGAGATAGTCTCACTCTGTCACGCAGGCTGGAGTGCAGTGGCACAATCTTGGCTCACTGCAACCTCCACCTCCCAAGCTCAAGTGATTCTCGTGCCGCAGTCTCCCAAGTAGCTGGGAATACAGGCTTGTGCCACCACAACTGGCTAATTAATTTTTGGGGGTATTTTTAGTAGAGACAGGGTTTCACCATGTTGGCCAGGCTGGTCTCGAACTCCTGACCTCCATCCATCCACCTGCCTCGGCCTCCCAAAGTGCTGGGCTTACAGGTGTGAGCTACCGTACTCCGCCCAAAGATGTAATTCTTTACTAAAAAACTTGGAGTCTTGCATAGGGAATATAAATTTGCTGGCAACATAAATATGGGAATAAATAAATGCCAATGTGGCTACAAAAAAGAGAGTATTAATTAAAATCCATCTTTAAAGTACGGCTGGTGCTGAAGCTGCTCCATGTGTTCATGGGGCACTCACTGGCCCACCGCTAACATCAACTGCAGGAACCAGCGACTTGCTTTTACATTCATTCCTAGGGGCTTGGAAATGGCGGTCTCAGCCTTTTATGTTGGTAATTCTGAACGGCAGAAGGGTCTTGAAGGTCGTTCTCCTTACTTATCCAAACAGCCCAAGAATCCAACATTTGGTCAAAGTTTATGGATTTGCCAATAACCTCCCCAATACCCCCGCTTCCTCCCACAACAGCCTTAGAAGCTACTAACCAAGGCTATCCTGTCTGGCCTTTGTGGCCTTAGAAGATACTGACTCCAGTGAACTGTGCGCATCTGTGTAACCGCTGGCAAGAGTAGTACACCTCAGCCCTTTTGAGAATCACAGAGCAGGGGAGGCCCCAGAAACCTCCACTCTCTCACACACTGATGTCCAGGGAAGAGAAACTCCTCCCACAGCTGCCAAGAAGTTCTGTCCAACCCCCTAAAGATAGCAAATGATCCTCTAGCCAGGGGAGGCGGGGAAAAGAATCATTAGGGATCCCTAACACTAGATGAAGAGGATGGCTGGGCCCAAGCAACAGCAATGAATGGAAAGCAAGGGGCCTGGCTGGACGGTGCCCATTCCCCAGCTGTGGCTGTCACAGATGCCCTGCTGTAGGAATTACAGCCTTACACGGAAACAAGGAATATGCTGGTCTGAAAGAAAGTGCTGATTGAAAACGCGGATGCTGGAGTGTTCCTATCAAAGGACACAAAGTATTCCAGATGCTTCTGGTGTCCTTTAGTCTTTCCACAGAAAGATAAGGTCTTCAAGGGAGATTTCCCCACGGTAGGAAGGGGATGACTGGATAGAGTCTTGGTCATTATTGGTCCAGACACGTATGAGGGGAAGAACTCTGGCCAGAGTCAAATTTTAAATGGACCTGGCAAAACACTGAATGGAATTATGATTTTTCCCCTCAAATCCTTTGTGATTTCATCTCCAGTTCCTGTCGGGACTGCTTACTGACAGAATGGAGGGTATGCACTTATTAACTGCTGTAAGAATTTTCTTCAGCAGGGGTCAGCAAACTATCGAGGGCCAAACAGTGAATATTTTAGACTTTGCAGGCCATAGGGTCTCTGGGGCATCTATTTAATTCTGTTGCTGAAGCTCAAAATAGCCACAGACAATATGTAAATAAATAAGCATGTCTTTATTCCAGGCTGGATTTAGCCCATGGATTGTAGTTCGCCAACCCTTGGTCTAGAATTTAAATCTTAAATTTAACATTCTAAACTCGCAAAGGATATCCTACTTTGATACAAAGCAGCCAAGCCTGTCTGTGGTCCACAGCCTCACACGCACATCGCCTCCCTCCACCCTCACACACCTGCCTGTGCCACCCAGGCCACGGCCCAGGAGCACAGCACCTGGGTGCCTTCATCTAGCTGGTATGACTACGGCCCAAAATCTCAAAGAAGGCACTGCTAGGAGATGAAGTCTTCTTCAAACTCCTGTTTATTCCCTTTCCATGTCTCCACCTTACTCGGAAGCTGGAAGGTACTCCACATGGATCACTGTCCAACTCCATCCCTTTCCGCAAAAATCTTGACCCTCGGCAAAGGTATTTATTTCCCCCAAAGGTCTATGACCCATCCTGCATATCTCCCTTTCCCCACATCCACATTTCAAACACAAGGTGCAGAGAAATAAGCTATATAAAATGGTATGTCATACCTTCAGTGACTGTCTTTTTGTCACGTAATTTTCTGAATGAAGTAACTTCTCATATTCACTGAAAAACTAAGATAAGAAAACATGTATCAGGGTTATTGCAAGAAAAAAAAAGACTGGTAGGTAACATTGTAAATTAGCTTAAGGACACACTTCTCACACCATGAAGGCCAACAGCTGCCCTGGCTCCCCTGCCATTCTCTTTCATGTCTTCCTCTGACATGTTTGCTCTAAGACCCTCAGGTGATCCCACCAATCCCCTCCATGAAGAGGGCTCCTGGTATTGAGCCCCTTCCCAGTTCCAGCCAGGCCCGCAGAGAGAGCTGAAATCCAGGCCTCTCTGTCACCCCAAGCTCCCTATGCACAAAACCTAACTTCCTTACCCCTCACACTTCTGCTTGTTGAGTCTGCTCTCATATCTTGATGTCAGATTGAAAAACTTGTATTTTATATAAACAAGAACTCAATTTGTTTAAAGCACAACCATAAAGAGAAAAGTTACCTGCTCTTTCAATGTATCAGGCAAAGGGAGAAAATAATTCAGAACAGAAATTAAGGGAGGAGAAATTCAGCATTGTGTTAACCAGGGCAACACTGAAGGTGGGGCTTAGGCTCAGACCCGGCGGATGGGAGGGATTTCACTCAGAAATGGAGGGGAGAACAGATTCCAGGCAGATAAAAAAGGAAGGGCATAGCATGAATGAAGCCCTGGGGAGAACAAAATGCCGCAAATTTAACTGACAGGTCCACTAGATCTTCAAAACAGCGGTCACTGGCAAGAGTGGCACTGCTGGCATAGTAAGGGCTAGAAGCCCATTAAAGCAGAGAGTTAGAAAACCAAAATGACGGGAACTCAGGGGCCAAGGCTATCCTTCAAAAAACATAGTAGACAAGGCCAGCTAGCCTTAAGATTTTATTTTTTGCCTGTCTGTTTAAACCACATATAGGTTTAAAACATTCTAAAAGTCTGCAGCACTAGTATGACTGTTGGATCTTGGTGCTTTCCTGAGACTTTCCTTTGGTCATGGCGAGTGCCAGAGGATGCCTGCTTTGTCACCTGTCCAAGAGAGAACTACTGGTGTCCATGCTTTATGATGGGTCCTTATTAGCCATATACCTGTGGTCTAGAGCAGGAGACAGCAAACTATGGCCTGCTGCCTGTTTGTGGAAAGTTTTTCTGGAACACATCCATGCTCATTTGTTTACTGAACATGAATTCATTGAAAAGTTTATGTATTATTTGCAGCTGCTTTCACAGAACAACAGACAGGAGATCAACAGAGACCACATGGCTTACAAAGCCTCAAAAATTTGCTTTCTGGCCTTCTTGGTTTAGAGCTAACACAGAATTATACATTATTTCTTTTGCCTACCTCTTGGCAGAGGTGAGCTGGCCATCTATTTAGTAAGTATTTGAGTTAGATTTCTCTCTTTTCAGAAAAAGCTGTTAACTCTACCTTCTCAAATGATGATCAAACTGATGACCAAAACAACTGGACCTGCTTTTAATCAGTAACAAAACAGACACATCTCAAGTTCTTGATAGAAAATGCAAGTTGATTTTCTGCTGCATCTTTGGATAAGTTTGGTTGCAAAAAATTTTTCATGGAGAACTGCCTGAAGAGTATGTATGTGGCCCCTGTTTCCTTCAGATTATGTTAGTTTTTTTTCTCTGAATTAGGACAGACAAAGGATAAGTAACAAATCTAGATACCTGTCCTCCCACCCACTTCTGGGCTCCTCAAAGACTTGCTTTCAGGGAACTGCATCGGAGTTGAGCATTTTCTTTACTGCAATGCCATGGCAATGACAGTCCACTACATGACACTGTAACTTGACTCTCCTTTAAGAATGCCAAGGAGAGAAATCTGTTTCAGGTCCCAGTGCTAGGAAAGCTATGTTTCTTTTGAGCAGCCAGTATATATTTTACTCTACAAATACTGTCATCTTTTAATTGCTTTTCTTTCTTTCTACGCTTTGGTTATTAGAAAGCTCAGAGCCAAACTGCACCAGAATTTAGAGCATGCATTTTGGTGTAATAACCTCACCTGTGGCTTTGAATTACCCACATCCCCCACGGTTTCTCCCTCTGTAAGATCTGATTGCTTTCTACATATTTATTAATTGCCTCACATACATTTTTCTAAAATCCTGCTAACTGATGTCATCTATTAACAACATGTAGGAAGCTATTTTACTGCAAGATTAAATAGATTTCACTGTAGCAAATGTCTTGGAAATTAGCTGGTCTGTGTCTCTGGTAGGCCTTAAATTACTAGTATGTTGAAAAATCTTTGTGGTGATGATAAATGAGCTAACATTTACTAAATGCTTCCTGTGTTCCAGACACTATGCCATGCATGTCACATATGCATTCTTATCTAATCCTCATGATGATCCCAGTAGACAGGTACTATGAAGAACCTTCTTCAGGGTGGAAGACCCTGAAGGCACAGAGGGTGCATGAAGGCAGTTGCTGAAGTCTTATTAGCCCATGGTAGGGCTGAGACTTGCAGCCAGAATCCAGGCAGTCCAAGGCTCAAGTCCATGCTTCTGTCTACTGTAAAAACACCCTGATGATGACAGGGCTGCCATTTTAAAGCAATGAACATACAAGAAGAAACAAACCCATATCGAAATATACATGAGCTGAAATAAAAATAAAGGACCAGCAATTTTTAAGCCATTTATGAGGCTACTTATGAAGGACTTGTGTGATCAGTGTTGTGTTATGTTCTTACTGGGAGTGGAGGGCAGGGGAAAAAGACAGGAAAAAAAAAACACAAAAAAACAAAAGAATGAGAAAGCACAGATTTTTGCCTCTAAGAATCTCATAATGTATTTGAACAGCAAAGTGAATAATGAAGTATTAATAATACTTAGGATTTCAAAAATTTAAACTAGTAGAAAAATTAAAATCTAAACCAAATCTTGCAGGATAGACAGGAATTTTAAGTGGACTGTCATTCTTCCAACCTCTCTAAGGGCACCTATCAGAATCTTCGGCGATGTGTAGTTAAACCAGTACATCACAACAGTGCTTGTGGGTATTGCGGAAGATCCTCCCGAGGCTGACAGAACTGGCAGTAGCGGAAGACATCATTTCACACGGCAGCCCTAGAGGCAGTTGTGGGGGTCTAGGGAAATCAAGCTATCAAGCACTCTGGAAATCATTGACAAATCTCTGGAGGACACTATTACCAGGAACATCTGACATTGACTCAGTGCTGGAAGGGACCTTACCGACAAGCTAGTCCAATGTCCTCATTTTACAATAAGGACGGACTTCTAAGTCCCCAAGCGGTTAACTGCCTTGGCCATGGCCACAAAGGAGTGAGCAGTAGAGCAGGAGCAGAGCCGGGCTCCCGTCCCCTCTGGCCAGTGCTGCTCTCATCCTATCAGCTGCTGCCTCCCTTTCTCTCTATTTGTATGCAGCAGAAATGTGGGGCAACTGATGGAAAAGGAAGGAAAAGTTAAAAAGTCAGATAATGTTCCCACTATCTTTACTATCATTTTAGCAGCAAAATGCTTTCTTTTCCTCTTTTAAAGCAATAAAAGCTTCAAAGGGCAGTATGTCAATCAAAAATATCTACTTCTGACCAAGTAATATTCTATAAGCTGTTTAAGAAGAGAAATAACTACAGCACCATTTATAAACATTACATATGCAAAATAAATATTCTAGTACAAAAACCTAATTTAAGTCTTTCTGGTAACAAGTTACAATTTATTATTTAAAAATAATATTTCATATACTTACTCTATCATAATGCTGTTCCAAAAATTCTGCACTGAGCAATTTATGTCTTGTAAGTAAATCCTAAAAAGAGAAAGTTTACAGTTGTTTTCCAAGTTTTCAAGAAAGAGAATCCTAAAACATTCCACACCATTTTATCTAATAAAAACTGTTGTTAAAAATCACCATACTTAACATTTCAGCATGAATTGTATTAAAAACGTTGATTCTATAAAAGCAAAATAAAATCATTAATTATTTGGAATTGCAATTTTAGTGATTATGATGAGTCATCATGGATCTATAGCTCTTAGAAGGAAAAAATGATAAAGGCAATGGAAATATATGCTAAAGAAAAAGAATAAGGAATTGTAGTTAAATTAAAGTTAACACTCCCCAAGTGGGCTGGTTATTTAAAAACAAACACACAAAAACAAAGCTAACAGTAGAGGTAAAGTATCAAACAATTCCACGCCCACTTAGCGCTCCTAGTGGAGAAAGAGGAAATTTCTTTTATTAGAAAAAGGATTAGAGGCTCTATTTTCTTCCTCCTAAGTTCAATCACATTCAGGTTCATAGCTAATGCAAATTTTTTAGAGGCAGAATGTGTTTTAGGTAAGCAGAATGTTGGCATGATAATGTAGAATTAACAATGACTGTGAACCTCCAGTCTGATTTTGTATTACCATGAAATAGAACCTATGCCTCACTCTACAGCTTTCCCAAGGAACAATCATTCAGAAATATTTACTATGTGCCAGGTAAAATTCTAGGTGCTAGGGCTTCAAAGACAAAAAGATATGATCCCTGCCTTCCAGGACCTAGACATTAACAAAGGACTAGCCTTGGTCTCACTGGGTGGGAAAGAGAATGGGAACGAGTGACAGCAGGAAGGCCTGGCTAGTAGCTGGTAAACTAATGGATCAAGGTCCTTCATACCACTGCTACAGATAGTGTCAATCATCGCCTTTCTCCCAACCAACTTTCCTAGTTTTCGTTCCTGTTTATGTTTGAAGGTTGCCCAAGTTACTACAAAGAACTAGTGTTTCCTGAAGTACGCTGAAATGAAACATTGGTTCTGAGAAATGCTTTTAAGAATGCCCCATGGTCAAGCAAACGAGGGTAGTGCCATAGCTCACTCCAGATGTCAGGTCCCAGACTCCACAGGGAGCTCTTTTGTCACCTACTTTCTGTGAAAGTCCTTCCCGAAAGGGCCTCTGTACAGGCCTTCCCCACTGCCTGGTAACCTAATGTTCATCCTTTGGCCCTCGATTCCTCTTGATTGGTCACCAGCACAAAAGCACCAGACATAGCTGTGACTTTACACTGGTTGTGGGATTATTTGATTCAAGTCTCTCTTACACTACACTGTAAGTTCCGTAAATATCAGGATCATGTCTATTTTTATTAATCTTTGAATCTCCAGCACCTATGCAGTGCCCAGCGCATAGTAAGAGCTTAATATTTAATAAATCAACGAATGAACCAATGAAATCAGGGAACATGTCTGGAAAAATATCACATTCAGCAATCTTCAAAGTATGCTTTTGAGAAGGTTTCTAACCCCACCCAAAGATTTACAGTTGCTCAAACTGCTGGATAGGGTATGTGTTATATTTCCTGATTATAACAGGGATGCCCAGGAAGGACCTACCCAATTTTTCCCAAATTCTCCTTGAGGATTCAACAGGACATATTAGAAAATGTGGAGTTTATTCTGAGTATCCTTGAGTTTGGCAAGAAGTGCTACAACGTTTCCCCTCCAGGTGAAGGAGAAGAGGAAAGTGGTAAGAGAATTTCTGTTATCTTCCTACTGTGGTCCATGGGGTCACAGATGCAAAGGAGAGAGGAACATGAGGAGAATGTATCAAGTATGGACAGCACCATTTAACATACTATTGTGGTATGTTTATGGCTGGTGTCCTGCTTGTGGAGGTGCCACAAGGCAATGCCTGTCTGTAGGGTTCACTGCTGAATCTCCCACACCTAAAGAATAGTGCACCTGGCTGAGGTGGGTAGATCACCTGAGGTCAGGAGTTCGAGACCAGCCTAACATGGTGAAACCCCATCTCTACTAAATACAAAAACGTAGTTGGGTGTGGTGGCGCATGCCTGCAATCCCAGCTACTCAGGAGGCCGAGGCAGGAAAATCGCTCGAACCTAGGAGGCAGAAGCTGCAGTGAGCCGAGATCGCACCACTGCACTCCAGCCTGGGCAACAAGAGTGAAACTTTCATCTCAAATAACATAACATCACATCACATCACATCACATCACATCACATAACATAACATAACGTAACGTAACATAAGTGCCTGGCACAGAGCAGGCACTGACAATCTTGGTGAATAACAAATGAGTATGTTAACTTAGGAATTCATGTGTCAGGATCCCTGTCAGACAGTGTTGCTTCTACCTTTTTGCGACTAAATTGTTCTGGAGGCCAGTGTGAGGAAGTATAGCAGAAGGAAACTGCTGCTCACTGTTCTGTCATAACATAATGAAGGGAATGCCAAGCAGGAGGGTCCTGAGAGACACTGGCTCTCAACTGGGGTTGGATTCTTAGAAACAGGTAGGAAGACAGTATCTACTTTATAAAGCAAAGGCCCTCTAGGTGTTAACATGTTGCACAACAGATTTTTACTGAAAGTTTGAGTGAAGCGAGTATTCACTCTGCAAGGTATTTCAAAAGGAGCCAGAGGCTCACAGATGGGCCATGCAAAGGGGGACCTCTAACATCTTCCCATATAGGGGAGATTCTATGTGTTATCATCTGGAAACTCAGGAAACTGCTGCCAACCAGAAATCAAATCTCAATGGCTTTGGGGTAGGAGAGATTGAAAGGGGGCACTCAGAGTCTGCCCAAGGAGCAGTTGGACCCAGTACATAACAGGATGAAAACCCTTTGTTAAAAAGGGTCAAAGTCCTGGGGAGGGGGTTGGGGGGGGTAAAACACTAGTAGGAAAAGAGCAACTGTTAAGAGTCAGCACAGAGAAAAAGGTGAATACTAAGCTGGGAAAAGGAGGAGATGAGGGCAATCAGCAGTGCCTCTATCTACCGACAGATGAGAAGGAACCTTAGCCTAGTGACTGCAGCCAAAAACTTTGGACAGCTCAAACTGGTGTGAGTGTGGGTGGCAGGGGCTGCGTGTAGACCAACAGAATAGAACATAATGGGCAAAGGGCATGCAGACCTGCAAAGTTTAAGGTGCATGTGACCCCAGAACAGCAGAGTTGCAAGGTCAGTCAGCAGAGGTGAGAATAAAAGGATTCCTGATCTTCCATCTATCTGAATTCCAGTCTATGGCAGGCCCTTGTATAATGGAAGAAAGACTAGGGATCATTTCCCAAGTCCAGCAGACTGAGCAGCCAACTTTTAGGGTGGGCTGAATTTAAAAGCTTCCTAAAAGCTTGAGTTTGGGCCGAAACATCATGTGACTAAGACAGCCCTGGGATCCCTGAAGAAATCCTGCTAACCCAGGGGGCTTATTTTCACATTCATCTTGGCAAACCATTTGGCCCCATTTCCTACTTGATGTTTGATTATGTCTAAGGACAAGGAACTCAATTCTCCCAGTTGTGTGGTTCACCTCTGGAGCTCTTACAGTGAGAAAGTTCTTCCAGTGCTAGGGTCAGACCTATCCCCAAGTACTTTCCAGGAACCATCAGAGCCGACAGATGCATGTTTTGTCCATTTTCTATGGGACCCCACTTCAAATACAAGTAGCGCTCTCATGGCAGGTCCCTACCGAGTCTTCTCTTCTCCAGGCTAAATACGTCCAGTTCCTTTAACCACTCCTCGAATGACAGGGTTCTGAGTCTCCCTCACCAACTACTGTCTTCTGAAAGTCATCTATTTGTCTATGTGCCTCTTAAAGTGTAGCGCCTGGAATGGAACACATTTATGTGTTGTTACCTGACAAGCTCATAGCAGAGTGAGACTATCAGTTAGCTCCTTAGGTTACATACTACCTGGTCACATGGAGCTCTGGGGGATGCATTACCATACTGCTTAATTGTATTGGAGGTATTCAAAATTGTTTACTCAAAGTGGGCTCTGGTAGCCTGCCTGCCTGGGTCCAAAGTCTGACTTCCCCATTTATTGTCTGATTTCAGTCAAAATCTCTAGGCTTCACTTTCCTCATCTGTAAAGTCAGTAATAACAACACTTCCTTCCTAGGGTTGAGTATGATATGAAATTATCTACATTCTAGTAATTATTATACTGAGTATCTCATTTCCTATTAATTATTATTCCTCCATCCCATATTTTATACAGTTGAGTCCTCCAGTGGAAGACCTCAGTTACTGCATTTAACTTCATCCTGCTATATTCTGGTCTCTCTAACCTTTCTAAGTTTTGGGGTCCTCTTATCTGCTCTCCTTACCTTCATGGCTAACATCTACACATTTGATAAGTATGCCTTGTCACCCTTTATTTCAGTCACTAATAAAAACGTTCAGCTGGGTGGGGAAAGCCCCGTGGAAATTCACTAGAAGTTTCTCTGCAGGGTGACGGCAATTTACTTGCAAGTAGTGTATGGATATAACATACAACTGGTTGTGAATCACTATACCGAAACTCCATCTAGCTCAGCCTTTTTATTGTTTCTATGAAAACAGATTTGTAGAATTATACAACATCTAGCATATCCTTTATTGTGATGAAGGAGTAATTCTAACAGCTAATGTTTATTGCACAGACACTGTGTGAAGGCATAACAACTGATATGGTCATGTTATTATCTGCATCTCAACAGATGAAGAGACTGGAGGTTAAATCAGCAGCAGAGCTGGTGTGAACCCAGGCAGCCATGCCCTTTTACTCCCCCAATCCACCAGTACCTATGAGATCAATATGACTGAACTTCCTCTTAGTGAATCCACGATGGCTGTGGGTACAGTTTCCAAAATGCTCAGAAGCCATTTTTTTTTTTTTTTGGATTATACTTTAAGTTCTAGGGTACATGTGCACAACTCGCAGGTTTGTTACATATGTATACATGTGTCGTGTTGGTTTGCTGCACCCATTAACTCATCATTTACGTTAGGTATTTCTCCTAATGCCCCACCCCACGACAGGCCC